ATTACGATTATGCCCTTTGGCTCAAAAACACCATCGAACACTCGGATCACTTAGACTTTAACACCCTCATTCAAAAAGGGCCAAATCCTTTCTTCCTCAAGGTCTCAAGCCTTATGATAACTGATGATCGAGCCACATCCCCGAATAATGAAGCAATTTGAAATCGGGTTACATAAGAGCTCCTTGGCGAACGGAAATGTTACACTGTGCGATAGACAGTCTTGGTTTGGGATGGAGAGAGCATCCTGTGGGTTATACTACTAGGTGGTGAGGTAAGGTTGCATTAGCCTGCTGTTGTATGTTGGGAGGTTGCCAGGGTTTGGCCCATAGAATGTTTGTTGTTGAAATGGGAAGGTTAGTGTTTGGGAATTGTAACATCCTGTTTCGGATCGTCTGAGATTAGGGTTTGTGGGTTGCAACCCGTGCATGAGGAAGTCTCGGGGTTGCGACGAGTTGCTGGAAGCGTAGAGCATCTCGACACGTTTCCGAGAATATGAGATTCATTGGAAACAGAGTTATATAGAGGAAGCAATGGAAGTTTGAAGTTATGGCAGGATAAGTCCTTTAATTGAAAAAGGTGGCAGCGGAGTACGTTGGGTGTACGTGTGTGTACGCTTAGCGTACTAATGTGCGTGATTTTTAAGCGGAGCCACCTAGTACGCTGGGCGTACCAGAGGGTACGCTGGGCGTACTAGGCACAGAGTGGAAACCCTAACTTTGGATGTGTCCCTATATTAAGAATGAGATGGCCTCATTCATGGCCACCATCCTTAGTCAATAAACCCTCTAAAACCCTAATCCTTCGTTCATGGAACTTGTGAGTGCATTTGAGAGCCTTAAGTGATATTGGTGTGTTCTTGGAGTAAAGAAGGAGCTTTAGAGAAGAAGGAATGAGAAGTCCAGGCCTTGGATCTGAGCATATCTAAGTTGGAAGCTTCATATAGAGGTATAAAGCTTCAAGCTTTCTCACTCTTTTGTTTTGAGCGTCCTATTAGAGTATTTTAGGGTTCTTGTCCCAAAAGGTGGAGACTTTATGAGATATTGAGCTCCAGAGACTATGATCAACCCCTTTGAGTGTATTTAGTGGTGTTATGTCATAAAAATCCAATCTTGGACGTTGGAATCAAGCCATGCATGAGATATGAGCTTTTTGAGATAAGGGAGTGAGTGTTTTGGGTGTTGGTGACCTTTTCAGCCATGCAAAGGCTTAAAGTCACTGACTTTATGGAGTAAGTGCCATTAGGGAGTCCATATCTGGGATTTGAGGTAATGTCTTAACTGTTTAAGACCAAATGAGTAGAAAGAGTGAATCTGGGGAGTATGCTGAGCGTAATTCCTGTACGCCCCGCGTACTGCCCCAGTGTCCCCGATGGCCAATATATGGATTCGTGAGTACGCTGAGCGTACCAAGAGAGGTACGCCTCGCGTAACCTCACTGTGTACTTTTGGGCTAAGTCTCATTTTTGGGCCTTGAGTGTTGGGCATGGAGTTTGGGCTTGTTGCAATAGAGTTTTGGACCAGAGGATTATATATATATATATATATATATATATATATATATGTGTGTATGTGTGTGTGCTTTGGGCCCTTGAGTTGGGATAGCCATTTAGATTTGAGAGTTGGGCCTCGTGAGAGCCCATTTATTATTGGGCCTTGGTGGGCCCAATGCGTTTTAGGTCATTGATGGGCTGGTTAGTGGACTACATTTAGACCTAATGAGTGAGAGTTTGGACTTAGTTCCTAATTGGGATAATTGTGGGTTTGGCACAGAGTTAGTGGCCGGTGCGTTGCAACAACGTTTATAGGGGCTGTTCATCATCCGAGGTGAGTCTTCTCACTATAATTTACCATGAGTGGTATCTATGTGTGACCAGAGAGTCTTATGTGTTTATATTGAGTACTATGATATCCTGCATTATGTCTATGTGATTTATGTTGTGTATTATTCTGAGCCTACTGAGTTAGGACCGGAGGCTCCATCTGAGTTAGGACCGGAGGGTCCACCCGAGTTGTGGGACCGTAGGGTCCCATTGAGACACATTGACCGGAGGGTCTTATTGAGTTATAGCCTCTAGTGGCTAATTAGTTGTGTGTCGTATTTTGGGGAACTCACTAAGCTTCGTGCTTATCGTGTTATGTGATATGTGTTTTAGGTTTTTCTCAGGATCGCGGGGAGGTGCCGGCTTGATTGTACACACCAGAGAAAGAGTTATGTTTTGAGGATCCTGGAGTCATAATTAAATAATTATGGAGTTGCGATTTGTGAATTAAATAAATGAGATTTTTGTGAAATGTGTTATGAGAATTATGTGATTTAAATGAAAAAAAATTATTGGAAAATTTACGGTGTTACAGGTGGACAAGAGGGGTGAGTTTTGTGCGAGTGAATTGTTCGACACAAATGGCTGATGATCTGGGATTATGGTGTTGAAGGGTATATTTGTCACAAACAAAGGTGTTTGGAAAACCATTGTTTGATCCCTCACAATCTGGTTCAACGGTGGTGTTTGGAAAACTGCCGATTATTCTCCTACCATTTGGTATAGTGGTGGTGGTTGCGAGAAGACCGGTGTGTCGCCGACGTTGTCCACCGTTGGTGGTGTTGTACTGCTTGATATCACTGCCAGTGTGATGTTTGGATGGAGGCACTTTGTGCCATTACGGAGGCCGAGGAAGTTGGTCCTTCGACGGTCGGCCTCCTTAATTCATTTGTTGGAGCGGTGGATACCGTCGAGCCGCCCTTCTGTGTGCTTCACTGGTAAGTGGTGTTAGAACAAGGGCCATAACCGGTTCCAATGACATCATATGTCTGATGGGGCTTGTTGGTGTCCCACCAGTTCCACCGGTGTCGCCGGATGCCATATTCAAACGATGAGGAGTGTGCTTTTTGTTTGTTTTCGTCACACTACGGATGTCGCCAAATGATGCGACCTGATCACCGGACGATAACGTCGTACGCCTTTGATGATTCCGACGAGCCTACAAGGTCACAATGAGAGAAAACCGTCAGTCGTTCTCCGGGACGCGGCTCCTGGGAAAACGCTCCGACGGTCAAGTCAGTGGACAGACTTGGGAGTATTTGGGGTAAAACGGGAGAGAGCGACTTACTTTCCAAGGCACCGTGGGTGGCCTTTTATACTGAACAATTCTACTAGTTCGTATGGGAAAAGGACGTCAGACCCGACAAGATAGGGGATGCTGATTGGATAGTCGTGCTCCTTATTCTGTCAGAGCCAACGATTGGTTCAGGTGGAAATTCTATGAGCATTTGCCTTGTCTCCTGGAGCTGTTATACTTTTGTCGCAGAGCAGAAGGCGCCCCTGGCGGGGTCGGGCCTTCTCTGCGGGCGCCCTGCTCTTAGGGGCACTGGCGGGCGCTAAGTTTCGTCGGGCTCGTTCCGCTAGGTGCGGCGTGCCTTGGAGAATTCTCTGGCGCGTCTAAGCGCGACTCTTCGTTCGTGCCAACGACATGTCATGAAAGCCCAATAAAGTCCTAGGCCCAAACCCAAGGATCATTCAAGATCCATTATGAGTGCATCAGTTGAAGTGGGCCAACAGTAAGGAAGTCCAAGCCCCAACCCCAACAAGCAAGCGCATTGATTTGGGCCCAAAACACACTTCGAGTTGAACTGGTTCGTACGCTCGGCGTACTCAATGGTACGCGCATCGTACTTGGCCGGAGCATAAGGGTTGTGACTAAGGATGCAGTACGTGCGATGTACAGGAAGATACGCACGATGTACGCGGCCCCATGCAATTTATGCAAAAGCGTCTTAAAGCCTTAAGACCAAGCGACTAAAACTCAGATCTGAAACCATTAAGACCTTTAAGGCCATAAAGTTGCAAACTTTATGCCTTTGGGTGGCCACAAGGAGTCCAACTCTAAAACCTAGCTTATTTCACCCCTTCCTACACTCTAACTCTTGAATGGGGGCTAAACAAGGTCCAAGCTTGCACCTTTATGATTTAAGATCCCTAGAAACTTCTAAAAATACAACTTGAAGGCTTAGGAGTAGCTCATACTCACCAAGATCTAAACTTTAGGGACAAGAAGGAAGAAACTAGCCCCAAACTAGAACTTAATGGAGCACAAACCAAGTTTGGAGCTTTATACCTCCTAGAGATGCAAAATGAAGAGGAGATGTTGGATCCAAAGTCTTGAGGGCAAAACTTCCTTCTTGAATAACCTTCTTCACAACCAAAAGCATAGAAAATCACTCTAAAAGCTCCAAAATGTTCAAAATGTACTAGGGTTTGCTAAGAGGGTCGAGAAGGGAAATGGAGGCTGAGGTAGGGGAGGATCTTGGGCGATAATGAGGTTTAAATAGTACACAAACGCTAATTCTTATGGTTTTGGCATGAGCCACATACGCCCTGCGTACTGGAGTACGCGCAGTGTACTCGCACGGGGCCTATTACGCTAAGCGTACCAAGACGTACGCCCTGCATACACGATCAACACCAAAAATTCAAGATTTTGACTTCAGGGACCCATTTTGCAACAAAATCAAAACCCAAGAGTTCAAAAGCAAACCTAACTGTAGATATTACAAGTTTTCCCATTATTTTGGATGGACTCGGTCACGACGTGAGGGCATAGTCATCACGACGGGACAATGATTTTGTTCGCGACTGAAGACTCTAAAGATTATTCACATGTTAAAACTATAAAAATTCTTTGTTTTTTTAATTACTGAAAATAATGAACAACCTTTTGAATAGTCTACTAAAAAATTGTAATTTGGTTTATATTTTTTTGTTAAATCTTGATTATTGAATGTCAAATATTTTTCATCTAACTTTATATTAAAAATAAATAATTTATTTATTTTGAAATAAAATAATATTTTTTTTATAATTTTTAATTGTATAAAAGTTAATCATAATATATGTTTATTTAATAAAAAAATTTGTTTAGATTAGTATAAAAGATGGAATTGGATTATCGTGGTTAAACTTAAGAGTTAAGAGCCTTTTGGGCTGGGCTGGGCTGGGCTGGGGATGAGAACTTGTATGAAGTTTGGATCGGTCTCTAGCTAGAGCCTAGAAGATAGGGAAACGACATCGTGTCATGAACTTGTACAACAGAGAAGGTATAACCAGGTCGTAGAAAGAACTGGAGAAAGCGTGGAAGCATCCAGAACAGACCCGAACCTCACTCAAAACCTCAGGTATCGTAGAAGCACCTAGAACCACCACCTTCATATAAAATCCCTCATACGCATCCCTCTTCCACATAACTGATTCTGCGCAATATCTCTCTACTTATAACAATCACTCTCCAATTCTTCAACTAATTTTCACCGTTTTCGTTTTCTCATAAGACTGCAATGGCGGAGATACAGATGGCCGATGCAGAGACGTTCGCTTTTCAGGCCGAAATCAACCAGTTGCTGAGTTTGATCATCAACACTTTCTACAGCAACAAGGAGATCTTCCTCCGAGAACTCATTAGCAATTCTTCTGATGCGTTGGATAAAATCCGATTCGAGAGCTTGACTGATAAGAGCAAACTGGATGCGCAACCTGAGCTTTTCATCCGGCTCGTTCCTGATAAGGTTAACAAGACCTTGTCGATCATTGATAGCGGTGTCGGAATGACAAAAGCAGGTAAATTATCGTATTCGCTTTTACGTCTTCAATTGATGAATTCTGTTGTCACCTTATATTGTATATCGTGCATTCCGTAAGTTGTAGTGTTAATTCGTAGATTTAGGTCCTCTATTACGTCGATTCGTAATTTTATCGTTAAAGTTTATAACTCCGCTCTGTTTCTGCTCATGATGTGTCAATTTCCTGTGGATAGTCTAAAATGATACCACGATTTGCATGTAGCTTATACCTAACATATAATTAAGGATCAGTTATGATTTAACTAACTAGTTACAGAGGTTATGCGGAAGAAACTTAGGTTTTGCACTTGGTGATAAGTTTATAGTGTATATTATATCTTCTTAAACTCCCTTCGTGTAAATAATGTACTGTGTCATCTGCTGTTATTATCTGACGAACTGGTCAGAGATAAGGCCAACTATAGGTCGTTTGGTTAAACATTAGTCACTAGTTAAGCAGAACTAACATGATTTACATCATTCGATGATACTATGCTTCTTATAATAATAAAATCACCGGCGTTTTGCTCAAAATTCAAAAAAACAGAGTCTAAGTGTTGCTTTGATCTATGCAGATTTGGTGAACAATTTGGGAACAATTGCTAGATCTGGAACGAAGGAATTCATGGAAGCACTTCAGGCTGGTGCTGATGTAAGCATGATTGGACAGTTCGGTGTAGGTTTCTATTCCGCGTATCTAGTTGCTGAAAAAGTCATTGTCACCACCAAACACAACGATGACGAGCAATACATCTGGGAGTCCCAAGCCGGTGGTTCATTCACCGTCACCAGGGATGCTGACGGTGAGCCACTCGGTAGAGGAACCAAGATCACTCTCTTCCTCAAAGAAGACCAGGTAATTGCACAATTCAGTTGACATTTTTCTTAGTTATCAGTTAGTGAGATTTATAGTAGAATTAGTTTCTAAACCGTGGTTTGATGTTCTACTTTGTGTAGTTGGAGTACCTAGAGGAAAGGAGAATTAAGGATCTGGTGAAGAAGCATTCCGAGTTTATCAGCTATCCGATCTATCTATGGACTGAAAAAACAACAGAGAAAGAGATCAGTGATGACGAAGATGAGGAATCTTCTAAAAAAGAAGAGGAAGGTGACATTGAAGAGGTTGACGAAGACAAAGAGAAGGAAAAGGGCAAGAAGAAGAAGATCAAAGAGGTTTCTCATGAATGGGAGCTCATCAACAAGCAGAAACCAATCTGGCTACGCAAACCGGAAGAAATCACCAAAGAAGAGTACGCTTCCTTCTACAAAAGCATTACTAACGACTGGGAAGATCATCTTGCAGTAAAACACTTCTCAGTTGAAGGACAGCTCGAATTCAAGGCGATTTTATATGTTCCCAAAAGAGCCCCGTTTGATCTGTTCGACACACGTAAGAAGATGAACAACATCAAGCTATACGTGAGGAGAGTTTTCATCATGGATAACTGTGAGGAGTTGATTCCTGAGTGGCTTGGGTTTGTGAAGGGTGTTGTTGATTCTGATGACCTACCACTCAACATCTCCCGTGAAATGCTTCAGCAGAACAAGATTCTCAAAGTTATCAGGAAGAATTTGGTGAAGAAATGCATTGAGATGTTCAACGAGATTGCTGAAAACAAAGAGGACTACAACAAATTCTATGAAGCATTCTCCAAGAATCTGAAGTTGGGTATTCATGAAGACAGCCAAAACAGGCCGAAACTTGCAGATTTGCTTCGATACCATTCAACAAAAAGTGGAGATGAGTTGACCAGCTTGAAAGACTATGTGACACGTATGAAAGAAGGGCAGAAGGATATTTACTACATAACTGGTGAAAGCAAGAAGGCTGTTGAAAATTCACCCTTTTTGGAGAGACTGAAGAAGAAAGGGTATGAAGTGTTGTTCATGGTGGATGCTATTGATGAGTATGCGGTTGGACAGCTGAAGGAGTATGATGGGAAGAAGCTTGTGTCTGCTACAAAGGAAGGATTGAAGCTTGAGGATGAAACAGAAGAAGAGAAGCAGAAGAAGGAAGAAAAGAAGAAGTCGTTTGAGAATCTATGCAAGACGATTAAGGATATTTTGGGAGACAAAGTGGAGAAGGTTGTGGTGTCTGATAGGATTGTGCACTCGCCTTGCTGTTTAGTGACTGGGGAGTACGGATGGACTGCTAATATGGAGAGGATTATGAAGGCACAGGCACTGAGGGATAGTAGCATGGGGTCTTACATGTCTAGCAAGAAGACTATGGAGATAAACCCTGATAATCCAATTATGGAGGAGTTGAGGAAGAGGGCTGAGGCGGATAAGAATGATAAGTCGGTTAAGGATTTGGTTTTGCTTTTGTTTGAGACTGCTCTGTTAACTTCTGGGTTTAGCTTGGAGGATCCTAATATGTTTGGAGGGAGGATCCACAGGATGTTGAAATTGGGGCTCAGCATTGACGAGGAAGAAGGTGGGGAGGATGCTGAGATGCCTGTTTTGGAGGAAGAAGCTGCTGAGGAAAGTAAGATGGAGGAAGTCGATTAGACTGTTGTTGGTTTGTGCTGCGTCTGAATTGGTCCAGTCTGAGTTGTTTAAATGGTTGTCTGCAGTGGGTCGGTTTTTTTCTTTTTCTTTTACTTTTTTGACTTCAACTTGTACCTGTGATGGAGTGTCTTTTGAGTCTCTTTGCTTGTACTTGTTATGAAGAGTCTTTTGAGTACTAAGTGCATATTCTGGTTCATATAAGATCTTGAACGTTGTCAATTTTTGTTGGGTGACCTGTTCTTCTTTCTTCTCTCATTATTCATTTTTTAAAATCGCATATCGTATACATATATCATGATACTTGCCAAACAAAAAACGGGTCGAATTATTTTACGTTGTGGTGCGCCATTTAGCTTTGATTTTGTTGATAAGAGCTGGAATGAGGTGACTTTTCCTTAACACAAAAGGTTCCACGTGTTTAGTCCATTTATTAAAAAAAACTGATTTTTTGCAGTATGAAATGCCAGCTCGACTGTGTTTGCTTACCAACCTCCCCTATTATGCAGGAAGAGGGCAATGTTTAAGCCGAAGAAAACTTCGATTGGGATCTTATCATTTTTATCGTTCACAAAACCTATGGAAGGCAACTTTGTGCAATCACTGGTTCTGCATTTATCACTTGATAAAACATTGATGATCCAGGATGGGACCTTATGGATCAATTGTATCTTTCACAAAACCTAGTTTTTTCTTAGCTAACCACAAACCACACCATTTTTATCAAAAGTGTGGTTTCCCCATACAAAAACCGATTAACGTCGGCTTTCATCACTAAAACAGTTTCAAAATCCTCCCCGGTTATTTGTGTTGTGTCTATTCTTTCTTTTATATCTTTCATATCATCCTTTTTTTTTTTTTTTTCATGTCATCCGAATCTACCGTTTTGCCTTTGTTTTTGCGTTTTGTTTTACATTGGTCAGGAAGGTGGTGTAACTTGAACGAGTTCATCATCGTTGAGGTCGAACCCAACACGAGCATTTGATGTGGTGTGGTTGGATTCAGATGTTCTTGAGCACTTTGAACCACTATCTCGATATACTTGCCGAATGTTTTTCTCATTTTTTATTTTTTGTTATGTTTCACCATATTCCCAAAACTCAATAAACTTTAACGTCTTATTTTCTTGATGGTACATTTTTTAAAGTTTTCTTCAAAATCATTTCATCACTTTCTCCACTTTTCTATTGACGTTACATGTTATACAAATTATTAAACAACATGACTTCCTTGTTTTTCTTTCTCCATTTAGAGTACATTTGGTGTTTTGAATGTCGCCAGATGCTGGTTAAATACACTCAAAATAAATCACTATTTTGGAATTCAAAAAGATATTTCTAAAGATATATCATAAAATAATAAACCTTTCAATCATAGTGAGGAAAATATTCATAAATTTTCAGAACGATATTCACTATGCCTACAAATGAAAGCATAAGTCTCTATTTATAGAATCATAGAGAGGATCTGATACAAGTATTTTACGTCACTGCTGACCAAATCATTCACCAACTACATTATTGTGTAGTGGTTTATCTTTGAGGGTCCTCTCTTATTTGATGCTTGTCGAGGAATCTTCTTTAATAATAGCTTTGCCATTATTATTTTCGGTAGTGGAGGTCACCTTGATGGTTGAACATTTTTTACTGTTGTATCTGTTAGTGTTTTTGTGGAGCGTCTTGTAGATATCTGCCATGTGTTCGCGGATTAAGTCTGACTTTAACAGGGAGTTTTGGAAGGCTAAGAACAGTTGTTCATCGGCCGGAGAAATCTCTTTGTTGGAGATTAAGGTCTCTCATGTGCATCATATCCATTGACAAAGATCTTGTCATCTGCTGAAAAACTAAAAACTTTGTTGATAAAGATTTCAATTTTGGAAGCGGCATTCTTTTGTGGAACCTTTTTGTTATTCGTCTCCAAAAATGATCATGTTTTAGGTCTTTTCTTATCTTTGCATCTTCTGAAATATCGATTCATGATTGTGTCAATACTTTTCTTCGGGTTCACATCATTTGGTTGCCGTTTCTCTTTTCTTTTACTTGGTGCTTTGGTGGGTTGGGTTTTCTAAAGATTTCGGGTTTATAAGCGGAAATGGATGTTTGAGTTTCTTGAACGAATTCTGGTCGAGACAAAAAATCAAACGGATTAAAATCAATATCGGGTACGGTTTGTGTTTGTCGTGTTTGTTGGAATTGTTGTGGGAATTGGTGCGGATAATACAATAACATACCCCCATAGTGATAAAGCGAAGACGAATAAATCGGTTGATCATATAAAGGTCTTGGGGTGTTTCTAATGGGTGTTTTTTTGTTGTCGAAAGAAGACATGTTAAAGAGTTTTTGAAAAAAAGATATTGAATTTTAAAAAATGACCATTTATTGTTGGGAAAAGAAAAAGCAAGAGAGGGTAAGACCAAAACTAGTTGTATGTAGTCAATCTGCATAGGAGGTGTCCCCACTGCCAATGTGGCAAACCCACGGCCAAACAGCAACCACATCATTTGGTCTTATAAACAGATCATTACCTAAGTTGTCACTGACAACGTAACAAACAGTCACGTGAAGTCAAAATCAACATACCACCATAAACTAGTTTATCAAAAAACTGATCTCAAATAGCTTACTAAAAACCTAACTTAGAAGCTATTTTATTAGCTACTTTAGGAGTCAACCAAACAGTAATGTGCAACAAACACATAACATGAAGATGAGCTGCACAACAATAATGTTGGGAGTCAAAATGATCATTTATTGAAATGCTCACTAACGAAAATCATTGTTAACCTATTAATGAACATGTGTAATCATACATTGAATATTTTAGAATAATAATCTAGTCAAAATAAAACTTAAGTAATAAAACTTAAGTAGTAAATGACTAATGGTCATCAGCATAGAGGCTTTTAAAGATTGTCGCACATTTCGAAGACATGATGGGAGTACTAAAAACATGAAAGCAGCATCCAAATCCAAATGTATCATGAAAGCAAAATGGCATTCATATCTAGACAAAAAGGTAGTAACAATATTCCAATAATATCACAAAGAAAAAACCATAAAACAGAAAACCTCAAATTTAAATAAGAGTCTCGAACTAATAAATAGTTTAGGAGAAGCTTGAGCTTGGTGGTGCACCAGCACCGCCACCATAACCACCACCTCCACGACCAAAGCTAGGTCTCCCACCATCACCCTGCAAATTCAGTTCATAACAGATCAATCACAACCTTCCAATATAAATGACTGCTTACCTTTTTGTTAAAAATGTAGATCCACAATCCAAACTTTCCATGGGTCAAACAATCAATATAGCTCAGCTTGAAATGAATACTTAAAGAATGTTTGAAACAAACAACATTAAATATGAACTTAGATCATGTACTTCTTATACGAAACACCATAGACCATGGCAATAAGAACAACTTGAAAGAGTTGATCTAAATTCAATTTCAGCTTAAAACTAAAAGCATTTCTGTTTTCAATCATAACACGCCCGTCGTCAAGAAATGCAAGCAATAAAAACAGTGAAAACATTACCCTGTTAAAAGCAGGCTGGTAATCCGCCGGAGCTCCACCCTTCTCACCACCAAATTCCCCAGGAGGTCCTCTAGGACCACCACGGTATCCATCCCTATCACCGAATCTCGGTCTGTCCCCTTCAAATCTCGGTGGCCCACTACAAAATTACACCACAAAAATCAAAAATCCATCCAAACAAACCGCAAATGAAGATACAAATGTTAACTTACCGTGGGCGATCGCCGGGAGGTCCGCCCATGGGACGACCGAGGGGCTTGGCTGACTTCTTGAGAGTAGCAGGAACAATATCAGATGGAAGGTTCAGGTAAGTCCTCAAGAACTCGATCCCATCATTAGTGAGATACCAATAGTAATGCATCCAGGCAAATGTCTCACGCACGTATTCCTTCGATTTGAAGCTTTGCATAAGCTTAATCACCTGCAAATTTGGCACATCGATATCTGGATGCTTAGCCAAATTGTAATCCTTCTTTGCATAGCATACTCCCTCTGCATAGACAATGAACCCCATAACAATTAGTATCATCAATGCCGTTAGACATATACGAAGCTTTATTATGCATACAAACGGAGTAAGTGAGACCTTGGAAGAGGTATTTGGATATCGCTCTACGATTCTTCTCAGGGATAATCTAAAAATGTCAAAACCCAACGGATATCAGAATCTCTGAATCCGCATAATATTTTTGTGAACATTACAGCTTTACAAGATTAAAAACACAGAGCGGAGATTTACCATGGCTGCTGCTTCACTTCGAGATTGGTAGACGGGAGGGAGGGTTCTTGTGTTTGCGGATAAAACCCTAGAATAGATAGTAAGCGTTTTTGTGGATAGACTTGTTGCCAAGCTTAAAGCCCGTTTGCATGGCCCGTAGAGTATGCGGGCCGGACTTTAATGGAACCCGACTTTTTGCATATTTTAAAGTATCATCTTATCTTATATTTAATAAATCTTAGAACAAATTATGTAAATAAATTACATAATTGAATTTTGTGATGATAACTATCATAATCGTTACGTTTTTGGTTGTTATGATTTCGATAGTTTATGTGACTGTGGTTTTATTTTGTTTCGTGATTTAACTAAATTTGTTGGATTTTTTTATTTTTTTATTTTTTATTCATAACTAGTTTATAACATGTGGAAACTATGGTAACAAAATTAATTAAACTTTTATAGTAAAAACTCAAAATTATGAATAAATTATTTTAAACAAATTATTAATTAATAAATATTTTTTTAGTTATATAAAATTATAATCGTTGATTCAAATAAATACGTGAAATTATATCATCTTATCATCCGTATTAATTTATTTTATTTTTCATTCTAATGTTATTAATTTAATGTAATTAGAGTAAGAAATTTGAAATTTGAAATTTGAAATGAATAATCAATAGGTTGACAAATGACATTATATTAATTATGAAGCCTAATATGGTGACATATGACAAAACAACTACTCTGTTATTAGTATATGGAGATTTAAATTAACATTTTAAATATTACAAAATAACTCATCCACCTTTTTATTTTCCTTTCTTACTCCCACCACCACTCTCCTCCCACAAAGCCTATTTATTTCCCTTCTCACTCTTTCGTTACGGGTTAAGAATTACCATCACCCATCGTTGCTAGTCATGGTCCATGGCCACAACTATCATATAAGGCAAGATACTCATCAAACCAGGGAGTGACTACTATATAGACAATTAATTTCGAGACTGAGAGATTGAGCACATAATCATATTCCGTTTGTGTGCAAATGTAGCTAAGTGTCTTACTCTATTGGTCATAGTTTCTTACTGTTGCAGCCGGTGCTTGTTTGTACGCGAGTGAACCAACCCAACAAACAAGGAAATGATGTCTCTCATGGAATTTGAGAATGATTCGATATGTATTACGGAAAACGTTCTTTCTCCCCCCGAAGGAATTGTTTGAAGGATAATTAGTGCAAGTTGTTGGGGAGAAAAAGTACATATGGTTAAATCCAATCTATTCTTGAAATAAATAATTCGCACACACTCCTTTTCCAAAGAAGATCAAGACCCCACGCACTAAACTTAGATTTATTATATTCGTTTCTTCGATTTGTATGAAGGGAAGATGTAGCACTAAATGTAAGAAAAAACCTAACTGGAAAAGCAACACTTATTAGTTCACTGTAACGTCCCAAAAATTATAAGGTAAAAACTTAATTTTTAATTCAACCAGAAACACCAATTATCCTTTTACAGTCATTCAAAATTATATCATAATAAAACAGTTATTAGGGTACAATCCTAAAATCATAAAGTTGCGAAAACATGGGTGGATGCGTTGCGATCAAACCGAGCCCTTCCCTTTCGAACCGAAAGAACCTGAAACCAAAACCATAAAACCGTAAGCACAAAACCTAGCGAGTTCCCCAAAATACCTCACACCATACATATCATTGGGACTAGCCCACCATAATGGGTCTAGCCTTGCCAAACCAATGGGCCCAGCCCGACATACAAATGCAAGAGTCATAGAGACAGTTAGCATCCTACATAACATACAATGGGCCTAGCCCTTCCTGATCCATGGGCCCAACGCATCATACAAATGGGGCTAGCCCAACATACCATGCAAAAGTTATTGGGTTTTGGTATAATACAACATCCTATGGTGCACATACAACCCTAAATACCTTGGATCTATATTTTCACTAATT